AAATTCTCGATTCGGAGCAGCATGGATTTCGCTAAACTCGGTCCTGTACTACTACCCTGTTGCTAGCTCGTGCATGCTGGATGGAAACTGGAAGCTGATGAAGGAGGAAATGCTGTCTACCTAGATTTCTCAAAGGCATTCGACCGTATGGACCATCGCATTCTACTGCACAAACTCCAGTAATATGCAATCGGAGATTCCGTTCTGGGCTGAACAGGAGAAATTCGCGTTTAACGTCACCTGAATGGGAGGGTTTGGAGCACCTTATCGGAACCAACGAAAGTTCAGTGTGGCGTACCTCAGGGATCAGTACTTGGACCCCGCCTGTTCCTGGTTTTCATAAATGATCTCGCGAGCGTGCTATCTTCTAACTGTTTGCTATTTGTTGATGATCTAAAGGTATGGCATGCTATAGCTGTAGTGGAGGACCACACTGCATTACACGATGACCGTGTCAAAGTGTACATATGGTCCATCGAGAACATGCTTCCTCTTTATATCATAAAGTGCAAAATTCAGAGCACACGCCATCAGATTATTTGAAACTACCATCTAGGACCACAAATTTTACTGCGAACTTCTCACGGGTGCGATCTCGGAGTTCTTGTACAGTAGGACCTCGGTTGTTTGAGGCAGACTGAAAAGGCTTCAAGGTAAGCAAACAAGCACTTCGGACTTCTTCGTACAGCGCTCGGAAAATTTGGCTTCTCAGCTTTTCCGAAAATGGTTGGTGCGTATGTCAGACCGCGTGCGCAATATACCTTCTAAGCGTGGCGACCTTGGCTGAAGCACCATCTCACATCTCTCGATACTGCACGATGCAGGGTGACAAAGTATATCAGAGTTTGTCCCGCCTTCCACATGCACTCAGACTGAAAACTCTCAAAATGTAACTCGGTCGTTATCGGTGTCTATGGGGAGATCTCATTATGATGTATCACATCCAGAAAATCTCATCCACCTATGACATTCTCTTTTGAAACTCAGTCAAAGCACTACTCTAAGGGTCCTCAGTTTAAGCTGGTCACGCAGTACAGACGACTGGAATTTGGACGACACATTTTCTTCCTCCTGGTGTCACAACCTCGGAACGCGCTCTCAGCACATGTCAGTAATGAGCCCACTTTATCCATTTTATCCAAAAATTATCTTGACAGTATCCTTACACGTTTACACTACGTGGTAGAGCCCGTGATCTTTAGATGCTGACAGTATTGCACAACAAACAGTGAACGGCATCATAACCCCCTATAACCCAGGCAGGAATATTCTCACATGTGCTACTCCAAACCCCTTGATAATTCATGTATCTCACACGTACTTTTCTTGACATGGTCTTTTTAATTTTGCGATTTCCACTCTAACCATCTTACGGGACATGTCAAACATTCGCCGTTATAACCATCATTAAACATTGCTCCATTGCTCCATTGTGTTGGTTCATTGCCTGACACGCACCGGGGATGCAAACCACTGCGCTCCTCAGAGTTTCTTTCCACCTTTTCGAAGCTGTCTTGATCACCGGTCATCGGAATTTCAGTGTCTGGTATAACCTTTGTCATCAATTAGCAATTCGCACTGACCCATGGGCTGTCATGTAGCTCTTTTTCACTTCCAGCCCCATTAACAGTCACCCTTATTTTGTGTCAACTATGACCAACTGAACGTTCTAGTTTTTCCTACTGAAAAGCTCTGTTATTTAACCTTTAGAGTTATACCAGGCTCTAGACTGATATAAAATGCATACAAGTATTTACAGGTAGTTTAATTTTTCTGTTGACAGGAAGCTGCCTTGTTTGCTTCTAAGCCTTCGCTGAAAGAATGAAGTATCTCTTGGAACGTGTTAGTTGGCATCATGATTTTCAAGGAACCTTCTAGTACCATAAAAACATAAACTGCGATAGAGCAGTCGCCTGTTTGTTACCTGTTATCTGCTAGCATCCATTGTGCTCCAACAGTTGGCAAATCACACTTTCGGGAAGACAGTCTTGGTTTTGATACTAAAGCCATTCCCTATCATGTGAATATCACCATGCATCATGAAATGCCGTTTTCAGCAAGTGGACATGGTGAGGTCAGATGTCTACTGGTTATATTCTGTTGCACGATTCCTCATTTGAATCAAATGCACGGTGTACCGGAGTATTGCGTTGGTTGGAAAATTCTGCTGAAACTTACTCAGTTGTCACTTGTGAAATGACCTTTCATTGTGCTTCCAGGGAACGCTCCTGAATCGGACGGTGTCCTTAAAATAGCCGGATTAAATGATCACTCTCTTACCCATTCCCATGTGCTTGTCTTAGCAAATGTTTAATCCTCCATACGCTCACACCCTTGGCTAGTGTTTCTCGGCTGGTTTCTAGATAAAACGAGAAATATACACTATTATTCGCTCACTAACGATATTTGACCTCATTTTAATTCTGTTTCGACGGTAACAGTCGTCCCATGTGCTAGGTCTGATGTCACCATCCGCATGTTGTAACACTGTAAGCACCTACTCTGGAGGATTTGTCGGTCATACATTTGACCATAGAATAAGATCTTATTTGTGTGCGCCTTACATTCACCTTTAACCATTTCTTTACTCTGTGTATGGGCCGTCAATGTGTGGCCAGTGACTTTGTTAATAATTTCACACGTCCATCGTGTGTTCACTTGTCGTTTGAGCAGTAGTTTCGATAGCAATTTTCCTCCCCACTCGCTTACTTGTAAGCTGTAGTTGACGATGATACACGTGGCTGATGAACAACTAAGAAGTGCCCAATTTACTTACAGGTATACATTTTAATAATACCGTAGATATTATCATCCAAATTTGTTCTGGTTTTGGTGTCATCGGCTACACGTCATTGAGCGTTCGACCGGTGAATGTTACATGCAGTATAAACAGCTTTAAGTGAAGATTGCTAGTTATACAAAATATGACATCTCTACTGTGGAAACTCAACACTACTGCGTTTAGTCAAGTCCGGTTGATCAAAAATCGCAGAGCAGTACACACATCCCTAGTTTTGTACTGTATAGATTACAGATTTGCAAGTCCCTACACCTCCAATTCTCCGTGGAACCGTTCTCAAATAGTGGTATAATTCAAATTTTTCTCACGACGCCTCCACAGCTCATGGACTGAATCCTAGCACCCCTTCAATAAAACCGCCACACGTCCTCCTATGATTCATTGTCATCAGACCCACTGCCAACCTACCTCATGCGAGAATTCAAGCCGCTATCAAAATGTAACTTTCCGCTTTATTTGATTTTCCCCAAGATTTTCGTGTTTGCACTGTTTCAACACACAGTCGATGTCCTGTTCAGGGTGTTTGCAGAACTGTTTGTCTGAAACCATATACTGCTCCTCTTGGTCAGCTCATCCTAGTCCTGCTTTAGCTGAAATTACATTTGTCGGGTGCAACACTGTCTTATAGTGCGCAAACGTCAGCATTGCAAGTTTTTGGTCCCGAATGTTTAATGCAGTCGTTTCGCCACATATTTTTGTCTGCCTCTGGGTGGTGGCGCTTAACCATGTCCAGTAGTCAGACCAGTTTATGTCAGCCAAAGTGCCGGTACCGAAAAAACATTCTGGTGATACGTCTTATATAGTAACCTCCTTCGGGGATATTTAACAAGGGTTGTAGATGTTCCTCAATGAGGTGACATTTGGCCCAAACTAATGTTCGGCTTTGAACTGGCATTTTTAATACTGCTGCGCTGCCTCATGTGATTTGCAGTCCTTCGCAGTTATATTATCTCCACTAACCGGCGCCATCTTTTCGTAAACATATTTTTGGAGGTGGCTTGTCATATCTTCGATGGTTAGCGCATCGTGCTTATGCGTTTATTGCATATTCGATGGAGACTAGTTGTCATTTGATCGTTTGCCGAGACAACGCAAGTATCTCATAAGGAAAACTCCCTTCTACCGATGTTTGAAGAAGGGCACAACGTTGTGAACATCTTGTAGACAGAACTTTACCCGAGTGGCGATTTCTGGCACTTGAACGCGAAACAGCCTAATCTGATTTTGCCCACAAGCCTTTTTCACCGTCATGTAAAAAGGTGCCGACTGTAATTGTCGTTGATAACTGTAGTTTAATATGTCGCGCAACCGCAGGTAGATTGTAATACAACACGGCTACACATTCGTGTTCATTCCCTATTTTTATAAACTTCACCCCTCTAAAAGATGTCACAACTCATATTGATAACCTTGCACTATAACCCGACAATACTTGAATCAGTCGGAGTTAACCACAAGATTTAAACCGCGTAGTGCAATTCTGGAACTTCAAGCTTCAGTGAACATTGGATGTGTCAAAGCTATGCCTATGTGCAAAAAGGGAATTCTTAGATGACGCAGAATGTAACCAACACAGTCTCGGAATTTACTGGGGCAAGGTCGCTGTGACCGTGACACATCTGAGATAGATAGACTATGGAACGGAACCGTATTGCTGCTTTCACCCTAACCTCAGAGATGGTAACCCATTAATCTAACCAATACCTAGATTGAAAAAGAGCACTTATCAGAATTGTAATGACATATATGAGATGCTTTGCTTTCTCTCTACCACTGAATGAATGACCGTAACCCAACCGCTCCTTTAATTGGCATAGAAAAACCTATCCCTACATACTTGATTTGCAGCGAAATAGGTCAACACAAGTACTTGCACCCAAACATAAAGCAGATTACAGAGTCACTGGCCGATATTTCTATCGTAAAACATTCAATAAACACGGATGATGGATAAAAACAAAAGAGACATTGTATTCAAATATTATACTGTTTGATACAAGACATAAGGAATTCGGTCGACTCCACCCAGTTGCTGATTGTTTTACAAAAACGACAATATTTGACTTGTTATTTAAGTGCGCAGTTGTAGCTGGGTTACTTTGGCCTCAGTGGCCCACTATAACTTTGCCCCTATCACATTCTACTGCGTTATTCAATGAAACTCCGAAATTATTTTGATTTCGTTTGCTTCATATTCCAGGGTAATACTGCCATAGGATTGATATTTACTTTGACCTCCTGTATCATGCTGGCATTCCCCCAACCGGATGGGAGCTACCATGGCCTTGTCTACAGTGCCGCAGTGGTGTTCGGTATTGGAAGCGCATTTAACAATGTCGTCGCCATATTGGTGGTCACTGACATTATCGGGACCAATCAAGTTAGAACTGCTGCTTTCGTTCATGGTTTTACCTCACTGATGGATAAAGTATTTTCCGGACTATCGGTTCAATTAATTCAAGTGGCGGTACCTCAGTTGAGTTATCGGCATGTGCAAGTGTACGTCGCAGGAGGTCTCCTTTTGGTCGGTGGAACTCTTTCCTTCTATGACTCCTTTCGATGGTCGATAGCACGAACAAGCGAAGCAAAAAAGGAAGGCGCACAAGCAGTCCCCAACACGCACGCTCCATCTGACACAGAACATTTAAATGGGATACCAAAGTCAACGGAACGGTGTGCGGTCTGATTCAACCCAACCCCAGAATGACATTCTGTATTTCTAACCAGTAAACGTGTTTTTTTGTAACTCCTTTGATCTTTCCTTACACGCAAGCATTTGGCAATGCAGAGCTATACAAATATCTGACGTTTTACGTCCATTCCACTAGGATATACTGATGCACGGAACTCGACTTCTTTGACCTTGATGAGGGATCGTTTTTACCTTGTGAGTCCCCACTGGGAAGTCATGATGAAGATAGGCTATTTCTTTTAGCATGTTTAATCCTTAACTTCCGAAACACTGCACCAGTAATTTCCTAAAGGAATGGTAAAAATAACGCTTTACTGTTTATATCACCGCGAACCCGTTGTTACAGAATGTTCCCCCAGGTTCGACACTTACCAAGCAGTACATCCGCCGGGATAGTTGACGTTACTCGTGCGAGCCGTTTGGACTTACTGCCAATACATTAATAATTTCAGTTGTTTCAAAACCAGAAAAGTAACTTCTGTCAGCTGTGTCAAGCACTGCTCGCGTAGTTCAATGGCCTAGTGATCATGGCGATAGCCGCCAAGCACTATGCACCAAGTTCCACTCTCAGCTCGGCTATCTTTACCTGATGAGTCCAAACCAGGACAAAATCGTCGGTCGTGAAGTGCAGGGATGGGAGAGAGCCACACCGAAACCCTCCATTTTAGCATTTCTTGCCGATTAACAACATTAGCTGGGTACTCTCTTGTTAGACTTATAGCTCAGACTAGTATAGAACTTGCGATTCGTACTCGGTGTATTGATCTACCGCAGCCTGCCTTCTCTCTGCTCTGTTGTAATGACTGAAGCGGACTGTTGCACATTTCCGAAAATTGTGAGTCACGGCTTATGTTTCAAAAATTTCGTGATGAACGCGGACATATACTATTTTTAATGGTCAGAAGTGCGCGTGCATACCCTCCTTCAGTGCCATTCAAGTCAAATGGGGCAAGGAACTCAACAGACCTTCATACAGCATAGCGCTGATTCGATTGTTATGTCGTACTTGGGAAGGCTTTTTAAGTAAGAGTCGAGCGGTGATAGATAACTGTTCAATCTCCAAGTTCAATATTAGGATGACTAATGAGGACCGTTCATAGCACGTACCGTCGGTTGGATTTTGTGGAATTAACAATAACTGGTACTCCAGTGTCATTGGTGGTTCACATTAGATAAACTTGGACAGACTGTCTTAGCGAGCACGGTACCTTTTGCAACGGTTCTTAGTAGATCTCTGGTGCCTAGATATTAGATGGAGCATGCCTTCTTACAAACCACTGTTTAGTTAATTTTAACCAACGAGTATTAAGTACTAGACTTTAAGATTACTGTCTCAACCTTTTGTTCTAAACCTACACCCTGTAACAATCTCATGATCCGAAAATGCGGGATTCAGTTCTTCGATTTCTTGCAGAATGCTTGTTCCGTGAAAGCGAGATCGACCACAGCTGACCAAATGAGCAAATCGTAGTGTTATTTTTGACGTACTTTTCAGCTTGTTTAGCCCTGTGTCTCCACCATGGCAGTATGGGGGAGGTCTCGCCTATGGACTCTTAATTATGGAATATATCGGTCCTTGACTAGGCATTTTCTTTCTTTTGGTCGATATGTTTACGAATATGAATAATTAATTTAGCAATGTTTTGTACCTTAACGGATAGGGACTTACCATTCAGACATTTAACCAGTGGAGAATAGCATCGCATAAATATCAGTCTGTTGCCTTAGCATAACAGAAGCGGATTCCTTCTGGAATGTAATTCCCGTGAGAATTCCACACCACACTCCTTAGGCTTGCTGTGCGAAGTGACAACATATTTTGACCGACACCACCTAATGTGTAACTAGCAATGGGCTAGCTTATTTGTTCAATATCAACCACCTTTTTAAAGGTAATCTGATTTCCACTGCGCGCATACAATTGATCAGTTGGAAATTCATCTGGGTACACGGTCTCGTCTACCACATTATTTGTTACGATAGAAGCTAAACGCTACAGGTCACTCCAGTAAGTTAGAATAGTGCCCATTTTCCATCAACTACCCATCGTAGACACTTTCCATACCATATTCACTGCCACTGTCCATTATTTGCTCATAAGTTTTAACAGTAACAGGGTCGCGGCCGTATCCTACTAAATGTTTCACCTTGTGCAGTGGTAGGTGTCAGTTCATTGTCAAAGATGGATTACCAGATAGTTCTAAACTTTAACTCAACCAAATACCCGCGTCCGACTGCTCTTTCAGCAAGCAGTTCTCAGAGGATGAGAACGAAGATAAGAAGATGACCAGCAACTGTAGTTTAAACTCTATAACTGATTTGTACTGTGTGCATATCGATTTACAACACTTCCTGACCTCGTTGGATATTGTTTCCTTCAGTAGAGCATCATTAGTTCGTTTTCATCAATTCGCATTTGTCTCCATACCAACCGATCTGCCTCATCCTTTCTTGTGGAAATCATCTATCTCCTCCACGCTAAACCGAAGCACTTCTGAGTCAGTGTGATTACTAGAAACCTTCTCACTTTTTTGGAAAACACGCAGCTGATGACTGGCTGTCTCTACAAGTGCAGGGCAATGAGTTTCCGGATGTACAACAAGTATTATCTTTTACTATAAATGCGCATTTCCCTTTCTTGAAGTACTATCCACCAGGGTTCCTGCACAGTTCCATCCGCTCAAACAATTTGGAGAAGCAGCCAGACCATGCCGAAGGAGGAAACCAAAAGTAGCTCAAGCCATGCCTCTAGTGCAGCTTCTGGAGACCCGTAGCGGGTTCCACACATCATGCGCATGACATCTGGGAACACAAAAAGTCACATGGAGCCAGGTCTGGACTGTATCGACGGTTCCCAACCTCCAGGATGCGTTCTCTAGCCAGAAAATCTACGAGGAGATGGGACCTGGGTGCAAGTGCGTTGCCATGGTGCTGCAAGGTCCCTCGTGCTCGAGTCATTGTACGACACCTGGCTACAGATTCCAGCACTTGTGGCAGAAATTAGGTGGAATACCAGTGTCCGGTGATGGTACGTTGCCGTACGAGCGGTACAGTAGCCACATGACCAGTGTTGGCCACAAACACAGCCAACAGTTGCTTGACTACCCTACTCTCATGTTGAATTTCTGAGACGTCGTTTCACCAACGACCGTCCACTGAGCCGATTATTTCTTGGTCTCTGGGTCGAATCTCAGGTCTCATCACCACTGAGGATCGCCCAAACAGCCCTGGCACGTCCACCAGCAAACCTGGCAAACATGGTACGGCAACAATTCACCCTAGCTGCATTCTGATCCTCACTGAGCTGATGGGGTACCCAGTGTGTGCAAACCCTTCAAATGCCGAGGTTCTCAAGCAACATGTTGCAGGTTGTTCTCGATGAATACTGAATACTGATTAGAAGCAGCGAGTAGAGCTTGCTGTGTGTAGCCGCATCGGTCGTCACTCATGGACAAATACCCTTATATTGTGTTCCGCTCCATATATTTTGCGTCTGCAAAGTGTTTATCCAGGAAAATTGTAAATTCCGACACTGAGTTTACTTCTACTACGTGCTGTGGCAGATCGTTCCATACATTCACCATTCTGAGCTTGAAATAAAGTTGGTGATTGACCCATTTCAAATCCGGTACGACCAGCTTATACTGGTGTCCTCGTGTGCTGCTTGGTTTGCGCAGATGAAGCAGTGTTCTCAACATAGGGTAATCACCCAGATGTAATATCCGGTGAGTCATGATGAGGTCAACCCTCATTCGATGATAAGCTAGGGTGTACAACCATGGTTTCTTACACCGGTCTTCGTACGGCACATCACTTAATTTAGGAATCAGCCTTGTGGCTACATGCTGCACTCGCTCTAGCTTTTCTACCTCACTCCGGGTGATAGGACAATGCGCAGGAGAGCCATACTCTAGCAGTGCTCGTATTATTGAGACGAAGAGGCGAGTGGCAATCTCTTCGGACCAAATGCTGAGGCTGCGCCTAAGCGCCCAGAGCATACGAAGACTATTTTCGTAAATCCTATTCGTACTGTCCATGGACTTTAGCTCGCAGCTTGAGAGTACGCCGAGGTCGCTCACAAAAAGGCGCGGGATGTAACGGTTGACCAGCCACCGTGTATGTTCGACTGGGCTCACACTTACCCAGCCTCATGAATTGCGACTTGACAGGGTTGATGGGAATGTTGATCTCTGCAGACCACGTGGAGAGGCTTTCGACGTCCTGCTGAAGCAAATCACAATCATTGGGTGTTCGGATTACTCTCCACACCTTCAAGTCCCCTGCGAACAACGCACAAGGTGATTGGAGTAGCTGAGGCACATCGTTTATATGGATCAGAAACGAAATCGGCCCCAGTACAGTGCCTTGGGGCACGCTGCTGCTCGATGGATACCAGTCAGTTAAATGGTTGTCAACCTGGACCGTCCACCTTTGATCAACAAGGAAATTCCTGATCCATTGGCGCAGCGAACCACCAACACCGCACATCCTCAGTCTGTCGAGGAGCACTGCATGATTTACCTTGTCAAAAGCCTTACTGAAGTCAATGTAAATGACGTCGATGATTTGCCTTGGTTCAGCGCTTGTAACCATTCGTGCCTCGTCAACGGTAGTTTGGTGATGCACGAGCGACCTTTAACGAAACCGTGCTTTGCGGACGTCAAGAGGCTTTTCGGCTCGCGAAGCCGCAGAAGGCACTTCTTCACTATCTTCTCGAGCGTCTTTGCCAAAAGAGCGGTCAGGCAGATCGGCGGTAGTTATCCACTTTGCTTGGGTTACCACCTTTCAGTATGGGCTTTACGACTGAGCATTTCCAGTCGTCCGGTACTATTCCAGTGGATAGTGACCTGTTGAACAGCTCAGTTACCGAAGGCGCAATGATGGCCGATAGGGACTTGAGGATCAGTGGGTGGATTCTACCTGGCCCAGCAGGCTTCGTCCCATCAATATTTGCTAGAAGCTTGCGTACATCTACAATACTGCAGTGTAGGCTGTCAAGTTCAGCGGGAGCGTTACTCGTCGAACTCGTTACAGACACCTGGTCACTTGCAAATACAGAAGCAAAGTGAGCCGCCAATGCGGACGCACGATCTGTACTCGAGGTCAGGGGCTGTCCATCGGAGCCTTCTAACACTGGGACATAGGCTGCACGT